TAGTATAAAGTTATATCAAATTTCAGGGCAAATTCTTTGTCAGAGCCTGTGTATGCTGAGGATACCTTACACCACTGATCTAAATCCCAGCCCCCAGAGTATGACTTTTTATAAGAATTTAGATTCAGAGGCTCTTGTTGTCATTTCTAGGAATGTCCTATTCGATAATCACTTTCTAATTACAAATGTGAGAAGCAAAAACTAGAGGTGTAATTTTACATAAAGCAAAGCTTGATTAGAGCTGCTACCAAGCATCAGTAATCTCAGAAGAAACAATCCCACTGAGAACAGAAAGCAGTGTCGCTAATGTAAAGGGCGCACTGAATAACTGCTCCGTAATACAGTGCTACATTCTAGTTGAGGAACTCCCTGTCCTGTTTCACTTTTCCAGAACAATAAACCCCAGAATGTTCAGGGTTATAGTCATATATCTAGATTTTTTTAATCTTCTCTTCCAATCCCAGCAAAACATTTATTCCCTGTTTATCTTTTTAATTATGAATGTATTTTCAAAAATGGTAAAAAAAAAAAAAAAAAGTATATATCTTTGACATTTGGGTTATACTACAAAACGCTAAATGATTACACAAATACATTGTCTTTTGGGAGATGTTGTAGGTGTTGAACCCACAGCCTCATGCATATTAAGCACAGCTGTACCACTAAGCTATACCCTTCATCCCCCTCCCCACTCCTGCCCCACAAATATATTTTTTGAACTGCTTTTATGCAAAACAAGTGAGAACAACCTGAATGTTCATAAATTCAGCCACAGCCAAACATTCTTTGAGTGTTTAGTGTTTGCCAAGCCCTGGGATTAATAAGAAAGTGGAAACATCCCCAAAATTCTTGTGTTGAAGTCCTAACCCCAATACTTCAGAAGGTGACTGGCTTTAGAGATGAGGCCTTTAAAATAATTAAGTAAAAATGAGATGATATGTGTAGGTACTACTCCAGTAATGGCAAACCTTTAGCGCTTTCAATGACACAAACAGCCCGCTGTGGCAGAAGTGGAATGGACTTGCCACCATCCAATATGATTCATGTTTTTTTGAGATGAGGAGGTGTTATCGTTGATACATTGTGTTAACTTGAGAAGTCTAAAAGCTTAACTAAATAACACAGCAGTTTTACATCCTGGGGTGAAAAAGACATGCCCTTTCCTACTCTAGGATGTTGTTCATTGTGTCAACTTGAGAAGTTTAAAAGGTTAACTATGTGACTGAGCAGCGAGCCAGGGTCCTTACTGTGGATTCCTCCAGAGCCTGTGCAAGAGGAGGGCACAGAGATGGTGTGGGTGTGGGCAGATAGCCAATATACAATACAAGGGAGAAAAAGAGGATTGCCCCCCTTTTTCTGCTCTTGCTGTTTTTGCTGTCTTGTGCCACCTTAAAGTGTTGCCCCTGTGCCATGCCACCCTGCCTTGGAGCCAGCTGATTATAGACTAAAATTTCCACAAATTCTGAGCTAAATAAACCTTTCCTTCCTTAATTTGGGGCATTGGATATTTTGTCTCAGCAACAACAAAAAAAGTAACCAAGACAGGAGGACACAAGACACACACAAGAGACAATTTCCTTGTGATGACACAGGAAATTACCATCTGCAAGTCTCTAAAGGACCTCAGAGAAGCCACCATGCCAGTACCTAGACCTTGGACTTCCATCCTCCAAAACTGTGAAGAAAAAATGTCTGTTACTCAAGCCACTTGTCTATCGTACCTTGTCATAGAAACCTTAGCAAATAAGTCAGGCACTCACTGGGCCCTCAAAAGGTTATAGTTCAATGGGGAGACAGACAACTACTAGTGTATGCAATGTAAAATATGAGTATTAGCATCTTAGCTGAATTTTACGTGAGGGTTGAAATAATAATTACATGAAATATTTTGCAACCTGGAAAGTGTTTATAAAATATTAAATGAAAAGGAAAAAATTAATAATATATCTATTCTAATAAAAGATGACTAATAAAAGATGCATTATGGGTGAAGAGCAGAAGAAAACTCTGAAAAAATACAGTGAGTTTGTTTGTTTGTTTGTTTGCTTTGCTATCCAGGAAGATCCTTGATGAACTTTAAGCTTTTAGTTCTTTATTGCAATTCCATATCAGTAACTTGATAAATTCAAAAACATTTATTTTAAAAGAAAATACATTTTTTACCAGCTCAAAATCCCCATACTACTACACATTAATTTTTATTAAGTCCAAATTTTGACATGTGTATAAATCTTTTGGAAACCTGGGCCAAACCTGTATCAACTAGTGGGTACATTCCTCCTCTTTGTCTCTGTCCTATCTTTCTCTCCAGTTCACATTTCAGTGTAGTTCAAGTTTCTTCTGATAATGCTAGAAGAGAAGTAGTCTGAAAAGAAATTCAAAGAGATTTAATGAGACTAAAGTTTGTACAAAAAGTCACTAAGAAAAGATATAGGTAAATAGCATACTTGAATTTATATTGAAGGAATGGTGCCCCAAAATGAACTTCTAGAGCTTCACTTGACTGTGAACCTTAAAAGCAAGCTTATATATGACAATAACCAAGGCCAGTTTGCAAAGGACAGGCCAGGGGAACAGAAAAAGAGCTCCCCATTCCTGGAGGTAGCTGGACAGGCCGAGGCCGGGCAGCTTCCAATCAAGGCTCAGTGGACCTGGCCATCCCCACACAGTACAAGGCCAAAGACCCAGCGAAGGGAGCTAGAGTGCCCAGCCTAGAACAGAGCAGGTTTTCACCTGAAGCTTGCACAAAGGTAGCATTGCCTGCAATAGTGCAATGTGAAATGTTTCTCAGCCAACAGTTCTGCACAGAGTAGGGGAGGGATAGAAAAATTAACAAGGGAAACAGCTGCAACAGAGCTGCCTTGGGTGTTAATCAAGCCATATCCCACTCTGCAAGAAGGCTTATATCAAAGACCTTAATTTGCCCCAAAGGTCTTGTTTTTACCTTGATTTAACAATTCTCACTGGTAGCATCTGTTGTCTTCATCCATGCCAGGCCCCAAGCTGGAGGTTCTGCTGCTCCTACCAGCTTGTTGTTGGTAGCCCCTCAAGGAGAAAAGCTCCCCAGGAAGGAGATTTGGCTGTATTTTTATCCTAGTTAAGTCCCTATCCAATCCATTAACAGCTAGGTTAACCTTGGTCCGGGGCATTTCCTGGAGAAGCTATAACCAGCTGGGGTTAATGAACTCTCCCTACCATTAATTCCTGGGAAGGCCATTGGCCTGAATTGTTACTTAATTACTCTTCTGTGTACAGCTTCATAAAGCAATGAAATGCCTTCTTTCAGGAAGAAGGGAGATGGTAATGGGGGTCATCAGAGGCCATTAATTTTACAAATAATTTGTTAGAAACTACAGTATGTTAAGAAGTCAGTCTGGCTCACAAATCAACTCACGGTGGCCCTCATTAAATAGATATCTGAAACTTCACAGGTTTCCCTGACTCCTATACACAGAAGTCCCAAATTATGCAGAATCTGGCCAAAATGTACACACATTCAGGTATACATAAATATATTTCTCACTTTCTGTACCTGATTAGTTCCTACAGTTGTCAAGACAAAGCCAGTGGAGACAATTTGACACATCACAGACATTTCGACATTAAAAACCTCCTGTGAGCAACCTCGCTGTGTTTTAAGGCATTTCTCTTTCTCCAGAGCTCTTCTCTTTCCCAGGATGCTGGTCTTACCAGCCGCACAGGTCCGTACAGTCAGGTTCATTTGCTCACTGCTGACCAAATCAAAGAGGCCATTTATCTTAGTAAAAAGGGAAAAGGAGATTTATTCAAAGCTAGCTCTGAGGAGACAGAGGGGCCTCATAACCCAAATCACCATCTCACCTTGTACAGGATGGCAGTGTATTTTATAACAAGGAACAGTGGAAGAGGGACTACTATGAGACAATGGACACCTTCACGCTTGTTTCATCCCTCTTAGACCCAGACCTCTCCCTCCCTTGACTAAGGAAGTGAAATTGAACATAGACTTACTGCCACCGTCTGCATATTCTGTTCATTCATCTGGCCAGAGGAGAGGTGGGTGGTGGTTCATGCTCTAAGCTCAAGAAGTTTGGAGATGCCACTTGTCTCTAGAGGAAAAAAATGTAACTTTTAAAGTTCCATTTCGCCATGCCAGTTACAATGGCAGATGCAGGGAAAAGCTGCAAATCCATGGACCTTCACTGGGAAAGGACTGGGTCTTTGTGTTCTTGGTTCTGCTGGACTGTGTTCACCCTGCATGCACCAAGTTCTCCCCACGTCCACCAAATTTCTGCCACCAACCACTTCCAGGACTGGGACAGCCTACCTGCTTCCTCTGCACCACTCAGTTTAAAATTGTGACACCCTACTATACACACACACACACACACACACACAGCCTTTTCTCTTACCCTGTTCAGCTATTTGTTTTTCATTGTGTTCTTTTATCATATAAAATAAAATTTACTTGTTTATTTTGTTGACTTTATTTGTTGTCACCCCTATTTCCCTCCAACACACACACACACACACACACACACACACACACATACACACACACACACCATGCATACCTCCCTTCTAAGGTGAATTCTGAGAACAGAAATGCTCTGGCTTCTTCTGTTCACTCTTTCTTCCCATGTGCCTGGCAAGCACAGGTGTTTTTCAGTGTTTCAAATGTTTGCTGCATGAATGAGTAGTTAGTTGTGTATGTGGTGGGATCACACTGCTAGCCGAAAGAACCAAAGTTCCCATTTTAGTTACACTTGGGCAGGAAGGAAGGCTTAGCCTCTAGGTAAAAGAAAGACAGAGGCTGTCCCTTCATATACCCCAGAAATCAGATTCGTGGAAACTACCCCTGCTGAGGACAGGCTCCACTATGAGCCCTCAGACCCAGTGGAGGCTCTGATTGCAGGAAGGAGAAACCGTTGCCATCCACCCCACTGTGACATCCAGAGTCATGACCCCACAGAAAGTTCTGAGATTCTACTGAGATTCTTTTCCAGTAGGAAAAGATTAGATTCTTCAGAAGCCAGTTGACTAGGGCCGGACTGGAAGACAATCCACAGCAGAAGGGCAGTAGAGTTTGCAGAAGAAATAGAGACAAAGTGGAAACTTAGGAGTCAAGAAAACCACATAATTTACTTCTGCTTGGTTTTCTGAGCTCTATTTAATATTGCGTTAATACCCCAAAGTCCCTGTGGAGGCCTGCCAGGAGAGCAGAGATATTTTTCAGATGTGTGCTACTCCTATATCCATGCCCTTGGGGCCTTAAGGAAAGCAAGATGGTTTAGGGAAAAAAAGGACTTTAGAACAACAGATAACCTTCTTTTCTTTGCAGTGTTTTGTACAAATTTATAAGTAGATTTTTGTTGGTAAACTATCTCTAATGTATCTTCTAGCAGGACGTATATGGAATTTTCTACCCTTATCCCTGTATCCTCAAATATTTCCTTACTGAGGTGTAATCAGACTGTGTGCAGAAGAAACAGAAGGCTGGCATTGTTTGTGGATGAATTAGGGGGATTGGAGGGAGGAAACACATTAATTTAATTTCTGTTTGGGGGACTCCTATCTCCGTTACTCTGTGTTCCATGAATATACCCATTTCTCTACTTCATTAGATACATCTCTGCTGGCAATTTAGAGGATCTACAATGGAAGACCAAAAGGAAGATCAGCAAGATTACAAGTAAGTAATCATAATTACACAAAGTCACATCCAAGGACCAAAGTGTGAAGTAGGTCTGTTGGTAATTCCTTCACTTATTGTCTGGTTTCTCTCTTTCTTCTTCATCTGTCCAACCAGCCCCCATGCACCCTTCCCAAGCACCTCATTCTTTCATAAAGTGATAACTATTGTAAATTCTCCATCCAAGCCAGCTTTTCCAAGGTAATGCTCTGTTTCCCAGTATCATTATTCCTGCTCAAAACAAAGTCCCTAAGCTTTTTGACCCTATTCCTGGTTAATTGCTTTGGAAGCAAACCAATGAATTAATTCACAAGCAATAAAAAGAAAAGTTTATTGAGAGCCTCCGATGTGTCAGGTGACCTTTCTACACTATTCTAAAAGTATCAATTATTTCACTCAAATTTATTTTTAAAAAGATACTTCTCTGCTTGAAAGCTCAGCCTGAAGCAATTCTGTGTGTGCTCAGTGGAATGGCTGTCATGATAGAATCCTAAACATCCCAGTAGGCAAAAGGAAGGAAAGGAGAGGCAGGACAAGAGAGGGAAAGATAGAAGCAGGTAGAAATCTTTCTTACCTCTGCATAAAACTAGGCTCAACCAGAAGTGATGCACCAGGTGCCTAGGTAAAAATACCCATAAAAGTGTATTGCATAAGCAGATTTTGTGAACAATTTAAGAAAAGGTTGCTAGGGGAAACAATTCTCTCCAATGCAAGGGACTATTTAAGGAAGTAGATTTTCATTAAACCTATGTGGTGGTGTATCACAGACTGATCAGACCCACAACATCCCAAATGAGTGGATGACAAAGGTTTAAATGAAAGAGAGAAGTGCTATGATTTTAGGGCTCCAGGAGGATTGGAACCCTCTCACAGAATTCAAGATTCTCTGGAGGCTGAGGCAAAGAACTGCTCTGGGCAGCCTATATTTATTTGGTTTTAAAGCAGAGGAGGCTGATACTGAGGAAAGCGTGGGAACTGAGCAGGACCTTAGGAGTCAGTTCAAAGACTTCCCCAGGAAGTAAATTATGCTAATTAGGAGCCTACCTTATTTCCAGGTTGACATTCACCACAGGAGTGAGACACCTGCAGTTACAGTCTTATTTAGTTAATTGGAGTTGGAGCCAAGCTTCCTCAGCTATGGCCTTTCCTTGTCCTTTGAAGCATCACTGGCCTCACAGGCCCCTACAGACCTCAGCCAGGAACCCTGATTCATAAATGTTCACTTACTGTGAGTCCGCTGCCCATCTCCAAACAAGGGACCTAGGCCTGAGACAGAGTCATAAGTAAATATAGAAAGCTAATTAATTAATTTTAAATCTGCTTGGAGCCACTTCATAGTGGTCTCCATCAGAGGTGTGCTATTATTTTGAGTACTATGGAGGAGTAAGGCCAGGAAAGGCATCCCTTGTTTGAGTTGAGAAATCTTGAAACACTTTATAGAGTATGACTAAGAAATATAATTTTTTAAGAATGATAAAATGAAACTATGGTCCCATGAAGAGCAAGGCTGAGAAACTGTCTTCTTGATATCCCTCTTGGCCCAATAATTATTGATCTTAAAATAACTAGTTTTTATTCATCTGGGGACTTAATTTATAGGTCAGAGAAGATGGAAATTTTAAGGTTGGCCCAATCAAAGAGGAACATTATCAGTTTGAACACAGACCTTGAAAAGGACATGCAGAAAATAGATGAGGCAAATCAGGAGCTGCTTCTCAAAATCCAAGAGAAAGAACATGAGATTCAGAAGTAAGTATCAGAGATTTAAGAGGAAAATTTCCAATCCAAAAGAAGGAGCTGAGAAAGGCAAGCAGGGCAAAACTGGATTTTTTACTTGCTCTTGAGACCTGTATGCTGTGAAGCAGTAAGTGTCTTTGCCAGAATATTAAAACTGCACATTTCAAATAGATTATTTACAAACTGGGTAATAGTTACCTGAACTGAGAGAACATTGGGGTGTGTGGCATAGGAATCAATCAGATCTTACTTGATTCTGAAACGATTCTGAGTCCATGGATCCAGTAAAGATGGGTTTCCAACTTAAACTACACGTCATTTTTGAAGTGTCCTGAGAACTGACATCCTTCTTTTATCAGTTCCAAAACTGCCAATCATGAGTCATCATTCTTGTCTCAAGCAGGTTAGAAAGTGAGCTCACTCAGATGGAAGACTCAGCAAAAGATGAGGAATTGGAGAAGGAAAACTTTATTGTACTGGAAAAGGAAAGAGTCTTGCGGCAGCTGGACGAAAACACAGCCAAACTTGTAAGTGCGAAGGTGGGAAGATCATTCAGTAGGTTTCGTTCTTCATCCTGTCTTTCATCAACCTTCAGGCCAGTTTAGTTTCCCCTTTTACATGCAAAGCCATAACAGAGTGCATCCATGCAAGGAAGGGGCCAAGTGGAGGGTGGGGTTTCTTTGGTGATGTTTAGTGGTGGGAAACCCCACAGGTGGAAATCTATATTCCTGCTGCGTTGGTACAAACTTTACTTGTGGTTTGAGCTCAAGATCTACTTCTATCATGCAAGTAAGATGGAGTTACTACCAGAAAATATTGCTGGAGTGAAATGGACAGTACTTGGCTGCATTGGAACAGATGACAGTGATGTACCAATGCAGACTTATACCTTTACCTCTTTCTCTCCCCAGGAAAGGAAGAACGAGACTCTGGTCCATAGTATAACAGAACTGCAGAGAAAGGTGGGGTGGAGCTCTATGTTCCCCAGTGTCCCCACAGCACCCTCGTTAATGGAAGAGGCAAGGCAGGGAAGGAACCCCTATATCAAACAGGCATGAGCATGGAGTGGGTACTACCTCAGTCCTAAGACTGAGGCTCAGTCCTATAAGCCACTGTTTTTGTCTGTGAACAAGAGGTAAAAGGAATAAATGAGATGTTTAGTGATTATAAGCAGGGGTTCTTCATTCTCTCACAAGAAAACAGATTCCAACAGATGCCCCATAGAAATGACTGACTGGTACCTTTATGCTAAGAGGCTAATTTTACTTTCAACAGAGACTTTAAAATGTACAAACACAGCTAACTTAATCCCCAGGGATTTCCTGTCTTGGCTAGGCATGTCCTCTACCCTGTTCAGAGAACGATGGGCTTCCTGTGGTTGCTCTTACTCTACAACCCATTCCCTGAACAGCCCTAGAGGAATCAGGAGTTGAGGGGAATATCTTGCCTTGAGTGGACTTTATCTCTGATATGTAAGACTAGTGAAAAGAGAACATCAAATATCCCTTAAGGGACCATGGATTATTATCTTCTATCAAGCGATAATTACTGATCCACACACATCAGAACATGTCCTGCACTTCTCAGTTGGTTTACTGAACGTATTTTTATTTGAAATATATATTTTTATTTGAAACTGTAGCTTGCAAGGAAATCACACAAGATAACCAAGAATGAACAATGCGATCTGGACAGCACCCCAGAAGAGTTACAGGTAAAGGGAAAATGTATCCCGAACGGGTTTGGACAGTGACCAGGAGACAAGCTGTCAAATCAGAAGAGAAGGCAAACCGGAATAAATGCTTTGCATTTTTCTCCCATGTCAGGTTTCAGCCTGAGCTTCTAGGGGCTGAATTCTCCTCCTCTGCCCTCAGTAAATAATTTCACTCTGAAGCCCGATGGTTTGTTCTGTCTTTTGTTAGGAAGAGCAGGGCACCACTGCGTATGTAACAATTCAAGCAACTGAAAAATCTCTTTTAAATCTTAGCTCCACCACTTAATTTGTTGTGTGAATTTGGGCAATGTAATCACTCCCTTCCAGCCTCAGTTTGAGGATAAAATGAGATTGTGTAAAAGAAAAAGAATATTCTTTTTTCTTCTGGATGCTAAGCCCACACAGAGTCACAGAACTTCATGATATATATGAAGGAATTCAGCAGCTTAGTGGCATGCTTGCTTCAGCCCCCTGCGACTCACACCATTGGGCTGAAACCATGTCTTTGGAAGTATTTGGCTGACTAGCCCTGGATGTAATTGATAGAAATAAAAATTGCTGCTATGACCCTTCTGCAAGCCACCACAGCCTGGACAACTGAAGTAGCCTCCTAACCACCCTTCCTGCTGCTACTCTTAATCCTAAACAAGCCATTTTCCATACACAGAAAATTCCACTTTTAAAAATACAAATCAGATTGTGTTTTGATACTTCATGCCTCTCCCAGCTTCTTGTTGCAATTAGGAACCAAAGTCTTTCTAGAAGATGCAAAGTCCTATGTAACCCAGCTCCTCTGCCTTTCCCACTTTTTTGCCACCTACCAGAAGTCTTACTTCACACACATCACACGTATCCTACTTTCCAATCTTCACCTTGGCAAACCTCCCCATGGAACATATTTTTTTCCGCATTATACTAATATTTATTAGTTCAATTTCACTCAAGTATTACCTCACTAGACCACCTATCACATTATCTCCACATACCACCACCGTGCGCTAAACTGTATTGTCAATCTGTTTTTAATTCTTTTGTTCCCCGTACCATTATCAGGTTAGTTGTTATGCCCCCAGTTAGATGTCACTCTGTGAGGTTGAAGACGCCATGTGTTCCCCACTATTGCCTCAACACTGTCTCATCCACACATGCCCTTCATACCCACACATGCTGCTGATAACAAACAGTATTTCATGCATTTAGGGAAAGAAGCTGGAAGAAGAAACATGGGGAGGGGTAAAGAAGTGAGCAAAAGCCTTGAATTCCCACTGACTTATAAAAGGAAAAGAAGGCACAAAGTTTTTCAAGACTGATTTTATTTCCAAAATAAAATGAGACAAGAAAGCCAAGAATTACAGTTTAAGGGTGAGACTAGAGCCAGATGAAAGTGACATGTGGAGGAGTAGGTTCACCAAGAAGCTGCAGAAAGCACTGGATGGTTCAACCTCTCCATCAGAAAGTCACCTGAAGCTGTGCCCTCATACTCTTCCACAGCCCGGGAGACCATCTTTGCAATAAGAAGCAATGTTCAGCTTGCTGAATTACTAGCTTCCTTTCCTTTCTGTAGGTGAAGTTACAGCTGCTGGAAGCTTCCTGTGCAGACCAAGAGCAGAAACTAGTGAAGGTAAAACAGGGAATTCAGTGTTACTTCTCTCCAAGAAGTGGATGCTTGATCTTTGGCCAGTCTAATACATTCTGTAAATGACTGACTTGTAAGCAGGTTCCTGTCTGAGGGCCACGTTGGGGATAGCAGGTGGTAAGAAAAGGTGAAACACAAACACCCTCACCATGTCACCTTCCTTTATGTGTAGCAGGTTGCATTCTATCCCCTGTATCTTTTTCTCCCAACTGGCCCCAAATAATTCTCATTTGGACTATGAAATGTGATGTACAAAGCATGTCCAAAATGAAATACATTTATATGTACAGAAAAATAGAGCAATGAGGAAACTCCATTTTGAGTCTGTGACATAGGAGGAATCATACAAACTCCTGTTCTTACAGCCATTTACTGAGGAAAATTTAAGAACCCATTTTGGTTTCCAGGTAATAGAAGACCATACCTTTGTAGTCCAGCTCTGTGCAGACCAAGCTCTCTGCATAAAGGTACAGCATCTTGGGCAAGGGACAGAAAGAGTTTTATTCAGAGATAGGATGAAATGGAACTTGGTTGTTCAAAAAATATCATCTAGAGGAATTTTAGCTTTTTCGTGGTGGTGCTACAAAGAAACTTTAAAGTCAGCAGCACACCATCACCACTATCACTTCGTAGTCCATTGACTTCCCGGTCATCCCACCCTGTAATGAGCACTTCCTGCTATTTCCAGTGCCAGTGATGAGGTAATCAGAGATAAGAGCAGTGGTGTGGGGGGTCCATGAAAGCAGAGGAAGCAAGAGCAGAAATACCAGACATCTGCGTCCTAGCGTAGTAAGTTCTTAGGGTTAGTGGAAACTATGTTAAGTGAAATAAATCGCACCCGCAAGCCTACATATGGCACGGTTTCTCTTGTATGAGAAATTCAAACTATGAACAAAGAGCTAAATAAAAGATAGATAATAAGAAGTAGGGGAAGGGCTGGGGATTTAGCTCAGCAGCAAAAGCTCCTGCCTGGCAAGAGAAAGCTCATGAGTTCGGTTCCTGGTACCGGAGAAAAACAAACAAACAAAAAAAGAAGTAGGGGAGTAGATCTTCCTCAAATGGGAAGGGGATCAAGGGACAGAGGAGGGGAGGGGAGAAAGGGGGGATGCAGAAAAGCATTATTAATATGTGTTGTGCACGTGGCTCAACTCCACACAAGGAATCTAAAATTAGGTACTGCAAACATGCACAAATAAATTTTTTTAAATACTGTTTATATGTTTAGAAAAACATAGTAAGTAAGAAGTAACTGTGGCTTCCTTTCCTTTCTTTGAAGAAGTACCAGGAAACCTTGAAGAAAATAGAAAAAGAGCTAGAGACTCGATTCCTTGAGAAAGAAGTGTGAGCTTTGGCAAACAAAAGAACACCATGGTTTAGTGGTAACTCCGTCTCCAGCTCAGACAGAGCGAATGTTCACAGCACAGTTCCTCCCAGGAACACATTTCCCCTGTTCGGGATCCTGTCAGGCCTTGCTAGACCACACAAACTGTAGAATTCCAGCCCTAAAAAGAGACTGCATAAAAACATCTCACTAATAATTGTATCACGTTATCACTTAGGCTCATACTATGAGCAAGAAGATGGATTTTATAAAGTGTTTGTGGGCAGGCACCTTGACAGGACATTCCTTATATTTCAAGAAAGGCCTTGAAAGTAACATCATCCTCTCTTTCCCCAAACATAGGGAAATCGCTCATGCAGAAAAGAAATGAAACTCACTTCTAGACTCCTCACAGATACTATATTATGAAACTCAAAACTGTACACCGTATGAATATGACAATTAGAAATGAGCAAGTAAAAGCCTCATGTTCCTTGAGTTTGTTAAGAGTACCATGGTACAAAGCTGAAATCCTCACCTTCATTTCTTGACCCTCTTTTTACGGTAAAACCTAGTCAAAATGTATTACTGTTTATTAAATAATAATCAAAGCTATATGCAGCTTCTAAACAGGCCAAATACAAACTATGGCCTAGAAGCTGGGGTTTTGGGACCTAAAAGACACCTCCAAGTCTCTTGCTGAGCATTAAGGAAGCTAGACTGTTAATCAAGTGAAGATTTCTGTCTTTTATTTAAGTTTCTGTGGTTTTTTGAGACAGGGTCTCACTATGTAGTTTAGGCTGGCCTTGAACTCACAATGTCCATATTTAACATCTATGAAGTCCAAGATCACACAGAAAAGTCTGAATGGAATTGTATAAAGTCTAGTATGGAATTGTATAAAAATTTCCGTGCTATTCAATAGGTGGCTACTAGCTGCATGTGACTACGGAGTACTCAAAAGGGGCTAGTGTGACAGAGCACATAAATTTTTATTTTGTTAATTTAATTTAAACAGCTACACGCAGTCAGTTGCCACAGCATTAGAGGATGCACCTTTAGGTGATAAACCTATCTTTAAATCGCCATCCTGTAGTATGAATGCTTGAATGCTATTTTCCATCCCTTTCTTGGTTCTTTTCCCTCTAGGTCAAAAGTCTTGAGCATGGACTCTGCGAAGAGAAAGTGTGAAGGCCAAAATAGCAAGGTAAATGCACCAGACCTTCTTCAGCTCCTCTTACTGCCCCTGGCTTTCAAGGAGTTTCCAAAAAGTAGAAGTCACCCAATACACACCCAATTTTCCCATGTGCATTTTCCAAGAATTGCTTATTGTTCCAAAGCATCCTACTCCTAAAACAAGAAACAGGATGTTAACGAAAAATCAATACCTCCCTCTTCAGGCCATAATGAATAACAAATTCTCCAAAAACTAGTCTAAGACCTAAGAGAATTCAGAACAGAAGCAAGGAGGAGATGCTCTATAGACAAAGTCAGTATGTGGCACCCACTCCACCCTTCCAAACCCCTGCAATCATGGTGCTCCTTCCTGTGGATACAAGTACAGTTCCAGATCGTTCATCACAAAGAGCCCTGGGAATCTGTCACCCAGAGTTGGTCTGGGCATTATAACACATGAAGTAGGATCAAAACTTTCAATTAATGTTAAAAATATTTTTAAATGTATTATATGAAAGACATATCACCATTAATCTCCCTCATCACAACCAATCTTGCCACTTTTTGAAAGAGCTCTGGAAGTGTACTAGTTGTGAATGCCTTCGGTTGTGCTGTCATATCTACAGAGATGTCCTGTATCAGTTCTAAATGTTTACCTTGTATGGTCATTTTGACTTTGAGGAAGAGCCAGAAGTCACATGGTACCAGTGAAGTCACATGGTACCTTATTCACACAGTGGATGAGGACACACTTTAATGTTTTTATGAGCCTGCCTTTCCACTGAATAAGAAACTGCTTTCCACTCAGCAGCAGCATTCACTGTAATTCTGATCCTGCTGGGTAAAGACACAAAAGAAGGCTTCCACAACTTCCTCAGAAAGAAGCAAAAGTGATGATGGAGTAAGTGTGTGCAAAGGAAGGGGGGAATTTTGAGAGGAATTAATGGTAATATGGCCTTCACCATAAAACTTATTTTTTAAAATTTTTAAATAGTCACCATATTTTTCTGTCTTTTATTTAAGTTTCTGTGGTTTTTTGAGACAGGGTCTCACTATGTAGTTTAGGCTGGCCTTGAACTCACAATGTCCATATTTAACATCTACGAAGTCCAAGATCACACAGAAAAGTCTGAAGGAGGCAGCATTTCCCAGTGGGGAGCACCAAGCCTGGTATCTTATGACAGTAAACACACAGTAATCCCAACACTCTGGGAAGGCTGAAGCAGAAGGATCATGCGTTCAAGCCCAGCTTTGGCAAATTAGCAACTTTATGAGAGACTCTTTCAAAAACAGAAATAAATGTTTGTTGGAATCTAATTTTATCATTTATATTGACCAGAAATCTTATGCAGTCAAAATAACTAGTTTTAATAATAACAATAAAGAATTCATCCTTCCTTAAAAGAACATACAAGTCATTGACCATTGTCCTAGTATCAGCTAGTGTCAGAGTTCTGTTAGAACATGTCCATGGTAACTGTAAATCTCATTGTCCTAAACAAGTTATTATGGCCCCCAAATTTGCATATTCCACTCCACAAACAAGGTTCCTAAAATTAACTGGACCGAGTTCTTTGGAATCAAACAAGTATGTTCCACTCTCTATAATCCATGGCTCATCAAGCTATTCCTTCTAACCAGCTGTGAGAGAAAAAGTAGAATTTTCTTCATGAAGCACAACAGAATCCCATGATGGTTTGATGACTGTGTTAGTTATTTTTCTCTTCAGTGGGACAAAATATCCAACACTCACAAGTTGAAGGAGGAAAGGCTTCATGTTGGCTCAGTTTGTAGAGGTTTCGGTCTATAGTTGGCTTGCTCAAAGGCAGGGAAGTGTGGCAGAGGGCATGGCAGAGGATAAACAGTCCATGGAAGGACAGGAAGAAAGCAGCAAACAGCAGGCCTTCTTTTCCCTTTTTATTCCATCCAGACTACGAGCCTATTAATTGTCCCACCCAGGGTGGGACTTCTCATTATCCACACCCAGAATCATGCTAAACCAATCAATGGACAAATCCAATTACAATACCCTACCATGCACATCTAATCCAGCATTACACAAGCATGATACAGCCTCCTCCCAAAAGCCACACCTATGAGCCTGTGAGGCTTTGGAGAGACATCTAAAAAAAGCCTATTGATGTTTAAGCAAGATCACAGAGAGGCTGCCTGAGCAATTGACTATCTGACATTCTGTACAACCTCACTTGAGCTATAGAACTGAGTTGGTAATCCAGAAAGTTTCTGATTCTAATTCTGTGAGCCTCATTTCTACAACTCTAAAATCTGACCATAATTTCCTTTTTGATCTCACAAGGAACTTAAAACCACAAATACATAAATATTTTGGGAGAGAAATGCCACTGAAAACTAGAAATCTTCATCTTTACATCGTTATGTCTTTCAAAATTTCTCTCTTAGGAGCCCTTTGTGGAGTCTACATAACATGTAAGTTTCTCCATAGTAGGAGGTAGATGGCTACAGTTTATAGAACTAAGACTGGGAAGCCAGAGAACCCAGTGCAGCCCCGTCTGACCACTAAGTAGCTATACAATCTTCCACATCATACTAAATCTTCCTGCACCTTAGTTTATTCAAAAGAATTTGTAAAATATTTCCTAAATATAACATTTCATGAATGCCTCACTAAATACTATTTGACAGTGATAATAGCTTCCAACACTTCCCTATTTATCAATGTTTTTTCTTCTTCTTCCAGTGTGTTTCTGTCCCCAAAATGGCAACATGTTTGGGTAAAAGGTAAGCAAAATATCTGTATGTAAGCATCCTGGAAAACTAGAACCATTTAGCCATCCTCGCAGAGAGCAAAATGTAGACAAAAAATACTTTGCGCACACACACATACACGCACACATACATCAAATCAGCAAACTAGTGTCATCAACTACATTCCTCAGTTCTAACGTTATGACTTTATTATCCATAGGCAAATTAATCTCAACTTCCCAGTGTTAGAAGCCACCAACCTAGTAAGAGAAAGAAATCTGATCACCTAAAAATAGATGTGGTGAATCTTGTATTTCTTCCCTTTCCCTTTTGACAATTTGAATTAGCCTGATGTATGTGATTTCCCAGCAGCAACATTTCACTAGAAATGGATTAAAATTCCTGAGAGCAGATAAAAGAGAAGGAAAAAATGATTGCCAAACACGCACCTAATATATCCAACACATAATAATTGCTAAAAAATGCTTGTTAAACTGAGAAGGAACTCACGATTCCAACATTTGTATGGATAGTAATCCTGAGCAAATCACTGGGATAGCAAAGTAAAATTGGTATTCATGAAGTTCTCACACCTCCAAGAAAAAGCCAAATTATGTTCAGTATGATCTGTTTAAGAAAGCATAAAGAAATATATATTCAAAGTGGTATGAAATAGGATTTCAAGAGTTCCATCAAAATAGTTAACATAAAATTATTGGTGCTAAAAGGTCAGCTCCAATTGTCTGGAAAATTTGCTTAGGCAGAGCACTCCTTCATACTAGATAAGTGAAGTATTACATATTCCAATATCTTTATTTGTGTTGTTACACAACATTTCTGTAAAAACTAGCAGAATTTTCCCCAGAAGTCCTAGGCTGCCTATAACCCCAGAGCTCAGTGTGGAATCTCCTAGGTGGGATAAGGATTGATTGTCCTAAAGAGAGCCGGTGTCTTGAAGGGAACCCGAACAAAGACATCCTGCGGCTCTAGCTCATCACATCTAACTTTAAATGTCTCTCCTCTTCTTCTGTCCCTACACCTTTTAGGGTACTGGTATACTGGGAAGTAACTCAAGAGAGGAAAACTAGATTTTTCCTAGGATTTCTGTGGGGATGTAATCCCAGAACCTTCTCATAGGCACTGTATTTAGTCTGAGGGAGAGAGGTGAGAAAGGCTTGTAAAGGCTTCCTATTCTAATTCTGCCTATGCTGCTGTACTAGAATGAATTCTGGGTCTTGTCACAAAGATAACTGTAGAAGAAAACTTGAGAAAGCTGGTGGGGGAGGGATCATTTCTGACTGGAAGTAGGTGGTGAATTTGCTCTGAGGCAGGAGGCAGCCTGGCTTAGCTGGGAAGGGATAATGTAGAAAAGGAAATGGTAGCAGTTTGCATGTGCAAATTATTTTAAAACCTGAAGGGTTAAGGAATTAAAGAAGAAATCAAGATTTCCAGAGTAAAGCTTATAGAAATTTATTAGGAAATTTAAGAGCATACGAATGAAATAAGAAAAATACCATGAGAGTAGATAGAAAACTTTATATCATAGATATCAACTGTCTCCAAATGATTAGTACATTCAACTGAATTCCAATCAAATTCTCCAACAGGTTTTTCATAGAATTGAATAGAATGATCCTAAAATATACTATATATATATGAAACAGTGAAGGGCCAAGAATAAGCTAGATCATTTTAAAGAAGAACAGGAAGTGTGGAACATGCCCTTCTAGAGATCAGATGGTAGGGTGAAGCAACAGCAGTTACAGTCGTGTGGCACTGGCAAAGAAACAGGAACGGTGACCAGCAGGATGGTCAGTTTGGGTCATGAGCAATAGCCAGAAACAGTGCACGCAGAGAACTTTGGCATGTGACAGTGAGTACATGTCAGAGGAGAAGGAAGGATTGTCCAATAAGAACAACATAGGGGAAAAACAGCTACCCAGGTGAGCAAAAGATTGGACCTCTATATAAAATATGCCAAAAATGTGCATTAAAGACTTAAATGTCAACACAAATTTTAAAATCTATGAAATTATTTTATCTTTTGTTGCCTAATAAATCCCCGCTCCAACAAAAAAAAACTTACTGGTTTCAACAACAAACATTTTCTCATGGTTTCTGTGAGCCACTTTCCTGTGTGTTGCTTAGCTAAGAGGGTCTGTCTCAGGGTCTGTCTTGAGGCTGTGGTCAAAACGTTGACCAAAGCTGCGGCCATTTGAAGGTTTGTCTTTGGCTGGAATTCTATCTCCAAGGTAATTTACTCTCATCTCCTGCAGGTTTTTCTAGTACTTGGCAGGCGATCTGCTCCTACACACATGGGCCTCTCCAAAGGGCTGCTTGCACATATCATATAGCATGGTAGCTGGCTTCCCCCCAAGAATCAGAGGGGAGCCATGTGCCTTTGTGAGGTAGTCTAGGAAGACACTGTGGTATCCATCATGTTTCCGTCTGTAGAAACGAATCATTAGGCCCCATCCACACTCAACGGAGAGAAATCTCTTGAAGAAAAGAGTAACAGAATTTGTGTACATATTTTAAAACTACTATAGAGTTTTAATTTTAAAAAAATCATGTGTCTTTCCAGCCTTGGGGTAAGAAACTACTTTTTAAACAGGACAACACAGAAAGCAATGTTAACATTAAGAACTTTTGTTCCTTAATACCTCAGAGTAAGTAAAAGTTATACAACTGGGGAAACATGAAACATTACACATAATAGAAAAGGACTGATATCAAGAACATAAAAAGAACTCCTACAAATCAATAAGAAAATCCCAGATTAGTATATAAATTGGCAAGTATTAGTATATATAATTGACACAGATTAGTGCATATAATTGACACAAAATCAATAAGTTATGATCTGTTCAGCATCATTTTTCATTAGAGATATGCAAATTGAAACCAAGAGAGATGGTACTTTACACCCATTTGATTGGAAGAATTTTAGGAACCTGATAATATTAAGTGTTGGAGAGGATGTGGGCCCACAAAAATATATACCTTGTTGGTAGGATATAATGTGATACAAAGTCTTTGGAAAATTATTTGCCAAAATAAAATAAAGAAAAAATAAAGGAACAAGATTATGATAGAATAGTGGTACATACCATAAAGATACTAAAACACAGTAATGAAGTCAACCAGTATAAGGGAATGGGGCTGCCTTTATAGTGTTATCAGGAAAAATGATCATAACTGATGGAGATGTTAGAATATCAAGGAGGAGCCAGGCTTGCATTCATTATTATTATGACACTTTATTTGGTTCCACATTTCCTAACCTCTAGTTAACACGTCTTCCTGGCTGTCTCATTTCAGAATTTGTTGCTGTCTCTTTTTCATCATCCTATTTTTGGCGAGACTGCTGGGATTCATGCTCTTGCACATAACATTTATAAATCCAGATCTCCTTGTCAACACCCTGCCAAAGATACTGAGCAGGAGCAATTTGTGGAAGCTGAGATGTTTCCTTTTTCCCTCTCTCACGCTTGAGACAGAGGACCTGTTACCTCATTGATCCCAAGAAGTATTCTTGCGCAACAGAAGGCAAGTTGGACTAAGGCCGTGGATAAGAACTCGTGGAACTTGTGGAATGAAGAGATTTCCTCGCTTTCTTCTCCAAGCTTTGCCTACGTGATGACTTCCTCTTCTGAAACAGTTGTCCAAGACTAACCTTGCCCAGTAAAGAGCTCTGTCAATAGCTTCCTGCGTCTCTATGGAGAAGCTGAATAGTGTCTGATAGTAAACAAACGGTCCCGTTGAGCACTGGGGGAATTATATAGATGTTAGGCAAAATTACAGTTAAGCAGTGATTCTAGTGCATCTCAAACATCTACAGAGATTGAACGCTTAAATGCAGATTGCTCACTGTTTATATTAGAACTTTTAAAGCAGTGATGGAGAACTTTCAGAGGTGAGTGCCCAACCCACAACCCAAAACTCACTCACTCACAACTGAGTGTCAGTACTGCAACTCAACCTGAATACCGAGGTTTCAGTTTAGGAAAAACAACACACACATTAATCTGCTTTTTCTGTTTGTTTGTTTGGTTTTTGGTTTGTTTCTCTTCTGGTACCGGGAATCAAACTCATGACCTTGCGCTTGCCAGGCAGGCACTGTGCCGCTGAGCTAAATCCCCAGCCCCAACCTGTTCCCAACCTGTTTTATCTTTTAAAAAATACACATGCCATAGGCTCACCACCACTGGTGAACATATATAGATAGATAGATAGATAGATATTCATATATATATACATATATAACATATATATGTCTAATTCTTATATAACTTACATATATAAATATTAATCTCCTCATGGAGTAGAAAAATAAATAGTATACTAGGTTTGAAGCTTTGGGCAAGGCTGGACCCAGAAGCCTCAGTGTTATCCATGCTTTATCTGCTTTGCTCCTCTCACTCTTTTAGTGGCAGGATGGCTGAAAAAAAGCCTGAATTCCATAATACCAGGTTATCAGCCTTAGCAGAATAAAAGAGTCTTCCCATAGCTCCACCATAAGGTCCAGAGAGGAACACAAGCCCATGCACCTGGGGTCAATTACCTACACTTTACCTACATTCGATGTGGCCCAAAGTGGAGGAGTTTGAATCAGTCAAGCAGTGATGTGACAAATCCTTGTGATGAGGCAAAGGAGAAGAAAGAGATAACGAAGTTGGTTCCACCTAAATTATGTAGAATACACTTCGCACAAGAGAGGAGGTTCTGCTCCCATAGAAAGACAAAGGGGTGCTAGACGGGCTAAAGTGGAGGTCAGCTTAATCACCAAACTCTAGCAATTAAATAGACTCACCTATTTATAGTTCACTTCATGTCTTCTACCAAGGAAATTGTAAATTCTCAAGATCATAGGTTGATGTAAACTACTGCAAGAAGCTTAGCATGAGAGCTGTGCAATTAATCCACCTTCTGGAGGTACGGTAAGCAAGCATCCTAAATAAAAAGCCTATGACTGGTATAAGCTACTTCACTGATTCATGGTCCCATGTCTTATCTTTTCTAATTAAAATTACTGAAGCACCCACATGCCTTATAAACAGATGTATCCAAACTCCTCCTGTAGTTTTCCTCTTCTAAATGGTCAGCAGCCTTGACGGTTCTGAAGTCCACGGGCAGCAAGGGGGCCCCTCTGGCTTCCACAATGGCCAGGAATGATCACGAGATGCGTTGATCCACTGCTATTGCTTCTCAAGGCCACAGGGTGTCACTGTTGAGAAGTGATCTATGCAAGGTGATCAAAGTGTAGAAACAAACTTACTTGATAACTGAAAGAGGTATTATTAATAATTATTCTGGAGCAGGAAAAATCAGGAAAGGCTCTTTCAGAAAAACTTACATGAATTCAAGATCCTGTTCACCCTGTGTAGGTGCAGTTCTTCAGGGTGAGGAGCAGCCCAGGGCAGCACCCTTAGGATTCTAGCACCAGACTCATTCAAGACTGATTCCAGTCAGGCGTGGTGGCCCGAGACTGTAACCCCAGCATTATGAGAGTCTGAGTCAGGAGGATCACAAGTCTGAGCCCAGCTTGGGCAGCTGAATGAGACCATCTCAAGATTTTAAAAGGGAGGCTGGGGATAGGGATGTAGCTCACTGAGGAGTCCCTTGGTACAATCCTCAGTACTGCAAAACAAATCAATTCTAGGTACAGTACTGCTTTACTCTTGTCTCCCCTGGAAGCCTTTTGGTGTAAGAAGTCAGCTTGCTCTCTGGAGAGCATTAATCCCAAAAGATCAGGAGTCTTTTCCTCCTGAGGACAACCCAGCAAACACAAAGGGCCAGAGGAAAATCTCTAGGGAAAGTTGTAAGGTTCACACCTTGCAGGAACTTTGCACACACTTCTGGAGCTTCTTCTACCCACAGAGAAGAGAAAATTTAGTGAAAGGCAGCTGCCATTCATTTCTACGGTGGAATTTGGGGTCTATCAGATGTCCACTGGGCTGTTTACACAACATCTCTACACATCTGCATTTTGAAATAGTTTTTGCTCAAAATCATGAGTTCACATTGCTCACAACTAGAGAAGGGAAAGGAGGAAAAGGAGCTTTTGTTAAATCGCTAGTACTATTTGGTGTTATGGCTACAGGACAAGAGAGATGTAGATCTGTCCTTCAAACAGAGAGGGGAGACAGATACATCACACAGGCCCATGATCAGTCCTATTTAAAAAAAAAAAACGGGAGAGAGTAGTTCCCAAGATGATATCCAACAGACCCACGGGTTATGTTAGACTCAGGGGAAAATGACATGCCAGCTACTAAATAAGATGAGTCAGCAAAGCCATTTTTTACTGACAAACCAAAAGTGTTTTCTATCCTAGACAAATATTTAAAAGAAACCAAATAGAAGTACCGAAAAATGAGTAATTCAGTCTGTGAAAGTGATATTTATTATAACCCCAGGCTTGAAAGAAAACCGAAACCTCTTTTCCTGGCAATGGTCTGAGTGCTACACAGAGACACTCGAGGTGACAATTCAGAGAACTCTGCGCTGGTTTCTTATCCTCGGTGCGCTCCGAAGCAGGGGACCAAGCACTACCTTGTGGCCTTGCCAGTTTCTAATACACGTTTACATTTGGAACCCCATTATTTTTTCCTGCACCAAATAACAGTAGAAGCCGAGGATCTGGTGGGATCTAGTAGCTTTTCCTCTCGGTGGCAAGCGCTGAGTTCAACCTCACCTCGCGGTTGGAGCTACGGCAGGCTCCTGTTCCCCAGCAGCCAGTGAAGCGACAGAGCAAGAAATCCGTGGTAATTCGTGAACTGAAACTTGAAAGCACAAAAGAAAAAAATATTTTCACACACTGTGGTTTCAGAATCATTTAAGAAAACTTTCAATGTTTTTTCCTTTTATATTTTATCATCACTCTTGTTTTCTCTGCTGCAGGTAAGTAGGACAAAGCTAAAAGCTGTGTAGAACTCAAAACCTCAGGGCCAATTTAAAACCTATACAACTGCCCTTCTTCGTGACATAAATTAAGCGTTGACTGCGTTGTTTGGGGGTCGTGCCTAGAAGGCAAAGTAGCTGAGAGTGAACACGGAAAGCCCAGATGTCTGCTCAGAAGGTAAAGAAAGCCCAAAACATTGGCCTCAGAAGACAGAGAAAGAAAGCAAAACACTTTTCACTACATAACATTACCACGGCAGAAGGAGGTGCTGTGGTATTTTAGATGGTTTCATGGAAAAGATAAAAGGCAGAAAAGACAGGAGAGAGGACAGAAGGGAGGGGAGAAGGATAAGGAGGGGAAGGAAGGTGAGGGAGGGAAGGTAAAAGTAAGAAAAAGGAAAGGAAAAGGAGGGAAGAAGGGAAGGAGAAAGATCCACTGCCAGTGTGGACAATGAACTGTTTTGTGTCTTTATTTCAAATGCGCTTCCTTAAGGTGGCTTGACATTTCATTTTCAGTTTCATACACCTCAGAAACCGAGACCTTTTACAGGTAGGGTTCGGTGGTTGGAATCACTGGTAGTGAAGTCCTTCTGATAAGGAGCGAGGAGAACGCAGCTTCATGCCCGAGCGCGTTGGGGTCGGCCCGGGCTGGGCCGGGCGGCGCTGGGGCAGCTCTGAGCGTCCGCAGCGGGAGGGCGCCTTCCCGGGGCGGGCTGTGCAGACACCACCCCGCCGGCCTGCGTTTCACCCTGGCTGCGTGTGTCCCTCGGGAGCGGTAGAGGGCACTGTTCCTCAAACGCGGGGCTCGCAGACGCCGTGAAGCACCTGCTGCACCTCTGCCCCTTGCAGACCAGATGGCCCACGACCCTGACGACAGCTCAGCGGCTCCATTTTTCACAGCCATGTAGGCTGGAGCCGGGCTCTAACAAGAGTACGGGCAATAAAGTGTACGAGTGCCTAGTACCAGCAAATCTGTGCCGTCCGCCCACAAGTACAAAGTACCTCGAGTCGTCAGAATGTGCGCCCTGGCTGGAAGGGGTTCTCTACCCAGTCTCGGACCTTAAACCCACGTCCACCTAGCAGCAGGACTCCACAGCGAAAAAGCCCAAAACTACGTCTCACCTCACAGTGCCGAGTCTCCGAGAGACCCGAGGTTTCCTGGAGCTAGAGAAAAAGATGCCCGTCGTTCATCGCGCTGCAGCAATCGCACCAGTTCTTCGGTTTTCCTTCCAATTCCTCTTCTCCTCTTCAATGAATCCACTTTCCTTTTCCTTCATGCGACCTAAGAAATAAATAACTACATCCTAGAATCACTCGTCTCTTTTTCTTAAGTTGTATTTTCCTCCCAGCACATCAAAGCTTGGGAATTAACTGTGAGGAGACCTGGCCTCCTTGCGCACTAGTGTAGAGGCGATGTCTCAGCCAACCTGGAGCAGCACGGCAGGAGTTCACCATGAAGCCAGCCCTGCCTCGTGAAGACGTGATGTTAACAATCACAACTGCCATCTGAGGCACACTTACTGTGTGCTGGGCCCCTCTCTAAGTATTTCGTGTGCACTGCTGCTTTACACACAGTCTTCCAAGGTAGGTGCCATTACTACTTTCCAAATAAGGAAGCCAGTTTCTGATAGTAAACAGCACAACCAAGGTTCTCATTTGAGAGAACCCAGTTCCATACCTGTCCCCGACTCAATAGCTTAGCCCCTAAAGCCTCTGTTGCTTCTGCAGCAGGACAGAGCTGATGGCCAACCAGGGAGAGGCTGGAGCACACCCCACAGCCCGGGGGGGGGCGGGGCGGGGGAA